TTGGGCGTTCTTGTTGCCTTGGGTCGCAGGTTTGCGACCGGTTGTCTTGGCTTTGCTTTGCAGAGTTTGTGGCGGCCGCCTCCCGGGTTAGCCCTTTCTTTTCCTTCTCTTTGGGTATGAAGCTCCAGGGAGCCGTAGGGGCTCCCCACAGAAAACCAGCGTTGAATGTAATGAAACGCCATTTTCTGGGTGAGCCCCGGAGGCTCCCTGGAAACCCTCCCTCCCACCGGTCGGCGGTTTTTTTCGCGTTGGTTGAAGCTTAGCTTCCGAACTGGAGCTTGGCAGCCGGCGCGGTAGGTCCGGGGCTCCCCCCTCCCCCTCCCGGGGTGGGGAGGGCTGCGCGGACGATCGGCGCGGCAGTAAAGTGTGATGTTTGCTTGTTTGCTTGTTTCCTTGGGATTGTAGGGAGTTTTCTACCTCTCTGTTCGGTTTTTGTTGTAGTTTCTTACCATGTGGGGTTTGTTTTGTTACGCCTACCTTTCTGGGTGCCTAACCCCGGTCGATGGCAGATAAGGAAAACCCCCAACCATATGGGGTTTTCCAGGGCCATTGCTCCCTGAAACCTCTCTGAAGGGGCCAGGTTCTGGCGCTGGTCCCTGGTAGGTCTGAACTCCTTAGCTAATGTCCCGGTCTAACATAACATACATTAGCCCGATAAGCTCCAGGGAGCCTCCGGGTCTCACCCAGAAAATGGCGTTTCATTACATTCAACGCTGGTTTTTTGGCAGGATTGGTCAAGGTGGGGGGGGGGGGATGGAATGATTTTCTGCTGTTACTTCAGGTCCTAGCCTGCTTGGAGACTTAACAGGGGAAAGTAGTCCTCTTGGCTCCTTGGTTTCCGGCCCAGCCTTAGTTTCAGGAGTTACTTGCTCGGTGTCCGAACGCAGGGGTTTTCCTGCAGCTCCTCCTCTTTCGAATGATCGGTGCAGTCCGTTACGTGGCTGGTTCGATCTTCTCCTCAAGTCTTCGCGTCTGGTATTTTTTACTTGGGTCTATCACCATGTGTATGGTGATCAGGTGGCTTTGTTAATGGTGTCCCACCTGCGTGCTTTGTCTCGGTGGCAGTATGAAATTTCCTGGTGGTTTTTCCATTTCTTTTTGTCTCTTCCTAGGTATACTTCGCCTTCTGTTAAGGTGGTCTTGTTCTTTATCTCGTGGCTGTTTCAGGACCATCATCTTATGCCGAATACTGGGGCCTCGTATCGTGTGGCGCTGGCAGAGCTGCTTCAGCTTGCTTTCGGTGTCATGTTACTTCTGTGCAGTTTTGCAAGCTTTCTCGGGCGTTGTTTCACCTCCGGCCTGCTCATGTGCTGCCTGAGCCGTCCTGGTCGTTGGACAGGATTCTCTCTTATCTCTCTTCCCCTCAGTTTGTTGTGGCCCCTTCGTTTCAGGATTTTGTCTCTAAAGCTCTTTACTTGTTGACATTGGCCTCTGGGAATCGGGTCGGGCAGCTTTATGCTCTCCTCTGGCACAGGGGTTTTTGCTCTTTTGCCTCTGGTGATAGGTTTGTTCGTTTGCAGCTATCTCCTGTTTTTCTGGCAAAGAATGAGACAGCTGCTTTCCGAAGGGGTTCTTGGGTTGTTGATACATAGTTGGTCATGCTGGGGGTGCATCATGTTGTGTCCGATTGTGACTCTCCGCCGTTATTTGCGTGCCACGACTTCTGTGTCCTGGGACATGCTTTGGGTTGCTCCGGTTTCCCTTCTTCCCTATTCCAGGGGTTTGGGTCTCCCAGGTCGTCTGTAGGATTATTCGGTCTAGCCAGCCTGTGGTCTATCCCCATGCCAACGATGTTTGTATATTTGCTACTCTTGCTGCTGTCTTCAGTAACATGTCTTGGGCTGATATTCGGGCACTGGGTTTTTGGCAGCCAAACAGGATTCTGGCTGTGTGTTACCTGGTCCATGTTCCAGAGCCTAGTCGGGCCTGTATCGCTTAGTATTGGAAGTTGCAGCTAGTTGTATCGACTTCGCATTGAGGGGCAAGTGCCGACCGCCTACCGGTAAGTCCCTCTTGTTTTCATCTTTTGGCAAGTAGCTCTGGGGAGCTGAAGGGGTTCACCCCCCAGAAAACCAGCGTTGAATGTAATGACACGCCATTTTCTGGATGCCAGAAAATGACCCCCCCCCCTCCGGTCGGCGGTGTTTTCTTGGGTTTTTGACATCCAGCCTAAAAACTGCTGGTTGGATCGCCAACACGAGGGTCTGGGGCCCCTCCCACTTCCAGGGGAGTATGGGGGGTGGGGGGGGTGTACAGACAGTAACGCGGCAATGTGTTGATGACATGCTCGTTTGCTAATTGTCGTTTGGGTAGTTATGTCCACTCGTTCGACTTTCGGTAGCAATATTTTCACCAGCATAGAGGTTTGTTTTGGAGAGCCTATCTTTCTGGGTGCCAGACCCGGTCAATAGCAGACATAGAATGTTCCCAACCACACGGGGGTATCTATAGGCCATTGCTCCTCGTGCATCTCTTTGGGGGCCAGGTTCTGGCTCATGGTCCTTGGTAAGCAAGAACTCCATGCACTTTGACTGATGCCAGAAAGCTGTTAGATAAATTTCATCCTGGATAGCTCCGGGAGCCTCTGGGTCTCGCTAAGAAAATGGCATTTCATTACATTCAATGTTGGGTTTTTGCACCATTACTGGACATTTAGAAGTCCTGGAGACTGATACTCGTCGAAACATTGGACATAGCACAAAGGGACTTCACACTCTGGGCACCATGTTAGGACCAATTTACGTTTCGGTGGAGTCTTGTGTGTGGACTTAAACACAATGCACTCACGCTGGCCTACTGCACACGTTCCAGTTGGTGGTAAATTCCTTATTTTGTGTGTCAGAAAGGCCTCTTTGAAAGTGAGCCTGGGTGTGGGAGCATGATGCAATACTGGGTTCACATTGGGCCTTTGTATGGCAAGAATTGGTTTGCCAAACTATTCTAATCATTGTCACTACAGTAAAACTGAATGCACAGAAATTTGGTTTATTACCTGTTTTCACTAGATACATATTTTAGCTGTTCAGCATTGTTATATCAACAAGGTAGAAAAACGACATCTTGGTCCACTTCACTGTTTTCCATACACACTCGACTGCCCCCACCATCATATTGCATTTATCCACCAAATGCATATTGATGTTATAATCCAAAACACAATCTGGTTTATATAATTGTTGTTTCGTGGTTTTGTTCATCTTGCCATTATTCAGCATTGTACCATTGTGAATGGTGGTCAACATGTTCACTTCACACCTGTCTTTCCACTGCACTGAAAGTATTCCAACAAATTTTTCTTAGCTCGCAATCACCAACCTGCATAGCAGTGTTGGTGATTGCCCAAATACGTTATCATGTGTAACACAATTCCTGTTTCACAGTCACAGAGAACAAAGAATTTCAATCCAAATCTGTGGCATTTGGAGGGAATATACTGTTTGAAGGCAGCACGTCCTTTGTAATGCACAAGGGATTCATCAATCTCCAGCTTCTGAGCTGGTACATAGAAATCTCCGAACTTTCCAATACATTCATTCAGAACGTGCCTCGCCCTCCAAAGCCTATCATCCTGTGTCTCATCTTCATTACTTGCAAAATGAAGACACCTGAGGATTATCACAAATCTGTCTTGAGACATATGTTTCCTGAACAATGGTGTTGGAACAGTCTGGTCTTTGATCCAATAATGGTTGATTATGTGTTTGACACAATGATTCATCAACATACACAGTGGCAAAAAACACATTCATTTCATCTATGGTAGTATCCTTCCAAAGCTGTAATCGTGAAAAATCTGATAACTCTTCACCAATGAGATCAGCCGCATATTTGTTCATTTTCCGAACAATATGTTCCATGTGTGGCTCATTAAAATATGCGGTAAAGTAGTCCATTTCACACATATCATCTCCTGTATCAGGGAAGAGGTTGTTAATCCAAATATCTGTAAAGTCAAAGGAGGGAATTTCTGGAACAAAATCTTCACCATCATGCCATACATATACACCTGGTGTCTTCTGAGAGGAAACAGCGGCACCACGGGTGAGGAATCCATGGACCAGGAGCTGAAGTCCCTCTAGCAACAATAGGGGCGGGAAGGGACAATGAGGGAAAATTACTTGACAATGAGGGACTTTGTTCATCAGTGTCCCCATGTGGTGCCCTAAGGTGATGATTGGCTGGGCCAGATGCTGCTGACGCGACAAAATGTCGCTTGGCAACACCATGCACCGCACTGGCACTAACAACAGCAAAACTCATCTCTGATTCTAAATCACTAAAACCAAAAAATGATTCGCCTTCCTCAGACTTGTTGTCCAAAACATTATCTTTTGCAGAGTAACACATAAATAATGTGGTTGGGCACAAAGTGGTGTTGAGTGTGGGTGAGGAGGCATGGATGACAGACTAGATTTAATTCTTCTGGCACCCGCATGTTCACTCTCATCATCTGTCATATCCACATCTGAGGGCTGTGTGTAGTCCTGATCTATGTCGGAGTCATCAATATCAGGTTCATCACCCTCCTGGAACAATTCCTGATGAATTTCCTCCTCAGTCAAAGCTTGCGATGCACGCTATGCTGAGCGGTGTCAGTTGCTGGTATGTGATGCGCTCGCCATGGTCTCTGTCGGGTAACTGAGGCCTGCAGACAATGGCTGCCTAAGGTGGATTTTTTCCAAGATAGCGTCTGTTTATAATCAGGGTTCGCTGGACAATAGCTGTCCCCTATCCCTCGGGGGGCATTTAAAATTATGTGCTAGACCCCCCTCAATCATATATGTACGATGTGCACCATTCTGTGACAGTTACTCCTATCATATATTTGTTTTGCACCATTTAAGAGTTAAACAATTGGAAATTACTCATATTTATGAAATAGATTAATACAGTGAAATAAATTTTCCACGACAATGCCTTTGTACAGTAATTAAATTATGAAAATGATTGTGTATTTATTTATCTAGAACACCATAACTGATTTGCTTTCCCCTCCCAAGGTGTCATATCTGATTGTAGATGAAATGCATAATGAGCACCCAGAACTGACACAAGACATCTACTGGGATGAGGTGTTTCCTCAGGAGCTTCCCTACACTATTGCTTCTGAGCAGTTCCGCAGAGATCCTCCTTTGGGCAGCACTGCTAACTTACAGGTGCCCGAGGCTGAGCAAGAGTTCCTTCCAATGGTGGATGAGCAACCAGAGGATGAGGTTAGTATTTTATACAGTTTTATACAGTTGATGCCATGAGTAGCTGGGGTTACGACTGATTGTGTGAATCAGTGTGTAAATGTCATTACTGGCTTGTAATGGATTTACCTGTGTGCAATTACAGGATGATAGCTATGTTTGTGGTGTCCTGTCTTTCTTATAGTCTTTGTTATATAGTACCTTAATGCTATCATTTTGCCATCTACAACCTCTCATTTAAATAAGTCCAATTGTTCACAACTCTATTTCCAAAACCAGTATTGAATGGAATGAAATTCCTCTTTCTGGTTGGCCCAGATGGCTTCCTGAGGCTGGCTGGACTGAGATCACTCATGCTGGTCATACCAGCCCCACAAGTTCTTAACACTTTCGCGCTTTAGATTAGAGATAACTCGTCGCCGTTTTTTCTTACGATTCCGCATAACAGCCTACTTTTCTCGTCCATCGAAAATTTTTTTCTATAAATTCCATTTTTTAACCGAAATGGATGGGGATACTTTTGTTTTGTAGAGAATTTATTTGCGAATTTTTTGGTACCAGAATGAATATTATATCACATAAACTTCTATGAGTAAAAAAAAAAATACACAAAGTATGTTTGGGGGTGTGGCGAGCGTGTGGCAGTGGGTTCCCTTTAGCCGTTGATATATCCAACACGTGGGAAATATTTGTATGTGTTATGTATATGTCTGTGTAGGGAATTTTACTGCGATCACTGTCATACAAATTATAAAATGTTTCAACAAGTATAAACATGACAAACATCAAACGAACGAAAACAATGCGTTCGTTTCTGCCGCGAACGCATACTGAGCGACGTGGTTCTATATTTGGCGCTTCTCTTACACATGCTTTGTACAAATGTTATACAGTTCATCTTATAGAAAATTTTATTGCGAACACATTGGTATAAAAAAGAAATACGTACATAGAAAAGTAGGGTCAGGAAACGTATAAACTTTCCAAGCATGATTTCCCCCCTCTGTTTTCGCTAGTGCGCTCGCGGCTAACTACTCTCCACTTCACACACTCTTGCGGGTGAGCAATTACCTATATTAAACATTCATATGCATATGTCCGTGTAGAGACTTTTATTGCGATTCCAATGATACCAAAATTAGCGATGTAGGACAACTGTAGGCTTCGCAACCATTAAGAGAGTGGAAACATTTTGTTGCTGTTTGGCGCTCTCGGCGAGTGATCTGCATAGTTTTTTATTTGGTGTTGATACTCCTTATGCTTGGGCGGCATTTTATAGGTATGCTCTTATAGACAATTTCATTGCGAACACAGTGATACCAAATTTAAATACGTGCGCCTTCAATTATTGTCAGGACAGTCAAAAGAGTGTACACTTTTCGGTCTTACCGCGTAGGCGCGCGAAGTGCCGAAAGCATCTGGGGTATTGTTTTTTTTGAGCGCCGAGAGCGCGAAAGTGTTAAAAACACTTTCGCGTGTTCGTGTCGCTCTAGAGCTGCACCAATTTTTCTCTTGAGTCCGCGTAAGTGACTCGCTCACGAGTCACGAGAAAAAAATATTTCTATAAAATCCATTTTTTATCCGATCGACTTGGGGGATAGTTTGAAAATGTGGGCCATGAAATTCCTGTTCTCCCCAATAGGCGATGGCATGGCGTGGTCGACTCTCTTTCAAGATGTACAATCCCAACAAAATCGCTGTTTGGCGCTCATGGCTAGTGATCGACGTAGTTTTTTATTTGGTGCCAGTCTAACGCATCCTTGTGTGACATTTTATACTGATGTTCTTCTAGAACATTCTATTGCGTACACATTGCTACAAAAATGAAATACGTACATCCAAAAGGTCAGAACAGTGAAAAGAGTATACACTTTTCAATAGGGGTCTTGCCAATGTGCAGTCGGGAAGTGCGGTAACGGGTAACACTTCTGCCACTTCCCACACTCTTGCGGGTGGGCCGCAATCATGAATCTACATTTATATGCATATGTCCGCATAGGGAATTTTATTGCAATTTCAGTGATAACAAATTTAATGCTGTAGGAAAAGTGTGGAGTTGACAACCCTGAAAAGAGTAGAAACATTTCGCCGCTGTTTGGCGCTCGCGGCTTGTGATCAACATACAGTACTTCTTTATTTGGTGCTGGTCCAACTCATGCTTTGGTGACATTTTATATGTATGTTCTTCTAGAACATTCTATTACAAACACATTGCTACAAAAATTAAATACGTACATCGAAAATTAAAGTCAGGGCAGTGAAAAGAGTATACACTTTTCAGTGTTGCTGCTCGATCACCCGAAACGATGCACGCACAAGGGGCAAGTTTTTTTTCGTTTGCTGAGAGCGCGAAAGTGCTTATTAATAGCCTACTAGTGACCAAAGTCAAAAGCTGGCCACCTCACAGAGGTGCAGGGAGCAGGGGATCTTTAACTGAACTTATCTTTAAATGAAACTAACAATGGAGAAAGCATGAAACCAGGATTTACCAGGGTGGCAGAGAGTGAAGATCAGACATCTGAAGAAAAGCACCCAAGATGGGAAGCCTGACCATCGACGACATATGCCCGACAAGGACCAGAAATGCTAACCAGTAACAAGCTGCCTACCTTGGTTACTGTGCATTGATTTTGGGGATCATTGTCACTGTGGCTCAGTCTCTGACCTGGTCTCCTGGTTGCTGGACTGGTAAACCAGGCTGTTGGACACTGTAGGTTGCTGACACCTACAACCCCAAGTCCTGTGAGGTTTGTTCGCCCATTGTGGTTCTTCTCTCAGACCCTCCAAGCCAAGTACAGGCTTATGCTGCTGCCACCTTGTGGATTCGATTTGCCTGCCTTCAGTAATTGTGACTTTAAGCTCGTTTGGATGCCTTGGAGTTGGTCAATCTTGTTTTTAGGGATCTGGAATTGGAGGCGTTAGTGAATCCCACCATTGTTTTGCCACCTTATTTTTTCCTTTGGGTGAGGTATGTGTCCGGCTTCTGCCAACCACTCGCAACTGCTTCCAGCTCCGAAATGTTCGAGGGTTTTAGAGTCATGGATGTGGCTCAGTTTTCTCTATGGATGGCTCCTTCCATTTCATGCGCAGAGGCAGTTGTGCTGCCTTGCCATGCTGAGGTTTTGGGGTTTTCTCCCTTGTAGCCAGCCCCTTCTTCCGAAACCTGCCTTCTGGATTCTTTCTTGTTGGTAAGATATGTCTTTCCTGAGGCTTCCTTTCTCTCGGGTCCTCTCCTCAGTGGATTCGGGCAGAGCTCATCGAAACATTTAAAATACTAGACAGTTTGGAGGATATTAAACCAGATAACTTCTTCAATAGGTCAGATGTTATACAGACAAGGAGCAATGTTTTCAAGCTCAACAGGCCACAATGTAGGACAGAAAACAAAAAAAAAAGTGCTTTTCTGGGGGGGAGCCCCTTCGGCTCCCCGGAGCTATCCAAGCGGATATGGATATATTAGACTTTGGCATCAATCAGTGTGAATGATCTAGGCCTACCAGGGACCACGAGCCAGAACCTGGCCTCCTCGGAGAGGCATGAGGAGTGATGGCCTATAGAATTGCACATATGGTTTGAGATTGCACATGTTAGACAAGATCTTTCAAAAGAAGACAGAGAGAAGCTGAAGCTGAATCTCGTCAAGGGCAAAACGTCTAAAGGAGAGCAGGAATGAAGGAGAAATCAATTCTTTTCTGGGTGGAGCCCCGTCGGCTCCCCGGAGCTATCCAGGCTGAATGGATATGTATAACTTTCTGGCATCAGTCAAAGTGCTTGAAGTTCTTGTCTACCGGGGACCACAAGCCAGAACCTGGCCCCCCTCAGAGAGGCATGAGGAGCAATGGCCTATAGACACCCCCTTGTGGTTGGGAGCATTCTATGTTTGCCATCGACTGGGATAGGCACCCAGAAAGGAAGGCGCCCCAAAACACACCCCTATTTTGGTGAAAATATTGCTACCAAAAACCGAATGAGTGGACAGAACTCCCCAAACAAAATTATCAAACTAGCATGACGTCATCACGTTGCTGCGCCACCGTCTGCTAAACGAGGGAAGGGGGAGCCACAGACTCCCCACGCCGGCGATCCAACTTGGCTGATGGGATTACTGGCTGGTCAAGTGCCTCTGGCTCTGGTTTTTGTTTCGGTTCTGTGCCTTGTGGTGTGGACTGTCTCTACCGGTGGGGTGTGAGCCAGAAGTAAGATTCCACGGTACTCGGGTTACATGCGCCTATGGCTATCTTCCCAAGGTTCCCTGTAAGTACTGCCCTTGGGGCCACCTTCCACAAGTCACCTTGGGTTCTACCTCCGCTGTGTCCTTTACTGCTCGGTACTGGGCCGCCCTTGGAGTCGGCTGGGGTTTTGTTGCCCTGGTTTGTCTTTGGGTAGGTGGTAGTTTTCATCACTGGTAGGGGTGCGGGGTACCGCACAGCTAGTTTTCACCAATAACAGTGGCCGGCTCTATTCCCCCTGGGTACGTTGTCCTCTTGCAGGGTTTTTCTTTTATTTTTGTTTTTGCCTGGTGGGAGGTCTGCCTTTATGGTCCCCCATTACTGTTCTTGGTGTTTTTCTTTCACTTTCTTCTGTTGGTGGTACTCTCCACTTGGCCCCCGTGAGTGGACACGTCCCGGGGGTTCAGTTTTTAGCAGTTTGTTTGGTAGACTTTGGCGCCGGTTCGCGGTACCCTGCCTGGGCTTCCCTTAGCGTGTACCAACGGCTAAGGGCCCTGGGAAACCCCATGGGGGATCTGTGGTCCTATAGGTGTGTCCCCAGAGTCCCTCTCACGTCCTGCAAGTTTGATGGTTGCTCTGTCCCCTTGTCTCAGGGTGACACTCACCGGTTGTGCCTCCGCCATGCTGCATGTTGGGTCATTGTTCTTGTGACCCGGAGTCGTACGACGGGTGTTTTCGGTACGTGCTCTCCTTCACCCAGGCCACTGGTCATGATAATCGGGTGCAGGTGGCTGCGGCATTGTTTGCTGGGTGTAGGTTGCTGCAACGCTCTTGGTTGTTTGCGGCCCCGGA